TGCCTTGCCCTGCTGCCTTCCCCAAGCTCGTTGTCCAGATTTGTTTTAGATGTGGAGACTGACACCGCCCCCCCCAACCACGAGGCTGTGAAAAAATCTATAGCTTACGTAATGAGGCTTTCCAGGGAGAGCAAGGCGGCTCCTAGGCCAATTCAAAAAGGGCTTGAGAGCAAGGGGAGGAGACTGGGTTGGTGTGTTTACAGTGGTGAGTGGAGGGCCTGGGGTAAGGGCACCTTACAGATACCAGGGGACCTTCTGTGATCCTGCCTTCCATTGGATCAGAGTCTGATGTAAAGAGGAGGGTTCCAGCCAGAGTGGGGTGGGGGCTTCCTGTTGGAAGGTGAACCTTTGGCCGAGTTGGGCATATGAATGAGTCTGTGAAGGAAGGGACACGGGGGTGAGGGGGCGATTATGATAGCAAAGAGCCCATCAGAAGCAAGCATCCCCTGGGATAGTCTGAGGCCCAGATCGTGGCTGGGCAGGTCAGCCGGATCAAACCCTCCCCTCCTTCCCTTATTGCCCCCCACTGCCGCTTCCAGTCGGCGAAGGGAGAAGAATTAGGCACACACAAGTCAGCTGCAAGAGATTGGGAGCAGGGGACAACAGTCGAAAAGGACTGCTGCCACGAGCAACTCCACAGTCTCACTTTTATTGGATAGAAACAATTGCCAACAGAAGGACCGATGAAGGTCAAACGTTAGTTAGTCACGTCTTGCGGACAAGCGAGGAGGAGGGTAAAGTTTAGAGTTAACCAAGCACATTCAAAGGACTCATCTAACTAACAACGGGTGCTTCTGGGAAGAGAAAGGAGCGGTAACGGAGAAGGGAAGCCGGCGGTTTGCGTTCCACCCGGAGCTGACGGGGCGTTCCCGGGTGCTCGGCTTCCCTGAAGCAGGCGGCCTCCCGGCCTGAGCAAGCCAGGCATCCCCAACTGCCCATCTTCACGGTCGTATATCATCCTTCTCCCCAAAGACCTGTTGCCAGTATATGTATTTCTTAAGGCCATATCTAAATGTGCATGGCAACTAGTAAAATCCTCCAGGGGTTACGGTTTAAGTAACAGATTGTTCCGAGGGCAGCAGCACCCCCCAGCCACTCTTGCCTCAGACTGCAATGTCCCGGTTCCCCCCTCCTGTCGACGTGCCCTGAAATTCTGCCTTTAAGCCCCCCTGAGGTGTCAGGCAGCCCTTCCTGCTTCAGCTGGCTTTGTGTTCCGCCCCACCTTCTCATTTATTGACTAGGCATCGCGTGCTCCCGTTAGGGACACCCAGCTCCATGGGAGAGGCCTTGGGCCTCAAGGGGGTCATGGCCAGGTGGGAGCCACAAGCATGTGTTCATCTCTCACAGTCCCGTGTGCATGGAAACCTGGGGTTCTGGCCATTTGGGCAAATGTCTTATCCGGGTCCTGAGCCGGATGATCCCTGCTTGGGGTCGGGGAGGAGAAAGGAAGGGCATCTGGCTTCTCTCTATTCCCAGGACCAAGCAGTGCCCTGGTGGGTGGTGTCGCAAGTGGTAAAGGTCTGTTGGTTGAGCCAGAGCCCGTGGTGATGGCAGGAGGCCTAGAGTCCCATGCACTGGGACCCGGACCCCAGCTCAGTGGCTGGCAGTTACGACCTGCTGGGCAGACCCGTTTCCCCAGGTAAGAAAAGACAAGAGGTTTATCCCCGGGCGCCCTGCTCTGTCTGAGGGTCTGTCCACACTACAGTGCCTGCTGCTCCACGAAGGGGCATCCATTCTCTTGAGAAGTAGTCTCCATACAAGTGACCCGGCAGCCCCCCGCCCCCCCCCCACCATGAATGCCTAGAGGGCAGGAATGAGATCACAGTCACTTCTCAGTGCTGGGCTCCCTGATGGGTGCCCAGCCATCATCTGCATGGACACCATGGGTCAATCCCGTGGACTCGGAGAATTGAAGGCGGTCAGGTCTGTGTGTTGTTGTTGTTGTTGTTCTTTTTCTTCTTTTTTTAATTACGCTCTTGGCCCAACGTAGGGCTTGAACTCATGACCCTGAGATCAAGAGTCCCATGCTCGGGACGCCTGGGTGGCTCAGTTGGTTAAGCCGCTGCCTTCAGCTCAGGTATTGATCCCAGGATCCTGGGATCGAGTCCGGCATCGGGCTCCTTGCTCCGTGGGGAGCCTGCTTCTCTCTCTGCCTGCAGCTCTGCCTGCTTGTGTTCTCCCGCTGGCGCTCGCTCTCTCTCTGACAAATAAATAAATAAATAAAATTTAAAAAAAAAAAAAAGTCGCATGCTCTACTGATGGCCAGCCAAGAACCTCTGCTCTGGTTTGTTTGTTTGTTCTGTTTTTTTTTTAGATTTTGTTTTTTATTTGAGAGAGAGCGAGAGAGCGCACATATGCACACGTGAGTAAGGAGAGAGGCAGAGGGAGAGGATCTCAAGCAGACCCGCGGTGAGCACAGAGCCCAGGGTGGGGCTCCATCTCAGGACCCTGAGATCAAGGCCTGAGTTAAAACCAAGAGTCCCACGAACCGACTGAGCCACCCAGGTGCCCCCTGTTCTGCACTTTTTAAAGAAAAATCCAAGGGGGGGTGGTGGTGGCTGGCTGGCTTGGTCAGTAGAGCACCTGAGAGCTTACTTGAACTCAGTTCATGATCCCAGGGTCTGGGGAACGATCCCCGCATCGGCTTCTCTGCTCAGCGGAGAGCCTGCTTCTCCCCCCTCCCTCTGCCTGCAGCTACCCCTGCTTGTGCTTGCTCTCTCTCTCTCTGTGAAATAAATGAATAAAATCTTTAAAAATTCAAAAAAAAAAAAAAAAGATACTAAGAAGGGAAGAAAGAAAGAAAAAAAAAGAATGAAAAAAACAGGGCGCCTGGGTGGCCTAGTGGGTTGAGCCTCTGCTTAGGCTCGGGTCATGATCTCGTTGTCCTGGAATCAAGCCCCAGGTTGGGCTCTCTGCTCTGTGGGGGGCCTGCTTCCCCCTTCCCCCTGCCTGCCTCTAAGTCCGCCTCTCTGCCTACTTGTGATCTCTCTGTCAAATAAATAAATAAAATCTTAAAAAAAAAAAAAAGAACCGGAAAGAGAGGAAAAAACCAGGAATGTTACAAAAATATACGCGTGGTGCCCTTTAGGATCCAAGGGGTCATCTCAAAGTTGTGAAGGAAAAATTCACTGGCTTACACTGTTCTGCAGAGCAGACACCAAAGGGCTAAAGATTTAGCTGTTGAGAAGGAAGAAGAAAAAGACCCGAGGGAGGATTGAGGAAATTATTTTTAAGGTCATGGTGAAGTCCTTTCTAACTCGCACTCAACATCCAAACACTTTTCTTTAAAACAAAAACAAAAACAAAAACGGATGAGGGGGCGCCTGGGTGGCTCAGTGGGTTAAAGCCTCTGCCTTCGGCTCAGGTCATGATCTCAGGGTTCTGGAATCGATCCCCTCTTCGGGCTCTCTGCTCGTCAGGGAGCCTGCTTCCTCCTCTCTCTGCCTGCCTCTCTGCCTACTTGTGATCTCTGTGTCAAATAAATAAATAACATCTTTAAAAATAAAAAAAGTAAACGGACGAAGGACGTGATCTGAATAACGACTTTTTGTGTCTTTATTTAGCAATCTCTACTCACAGCGTGGGGCTCGAACCCAGGACCCGCAGATCAAAGCCGCCCCCCCCACCCATCCACCCACCCCATAACTTTCCGTGGCACCTTAAGCACCTGGAATCCTCAGCGAGGCCCAAAGGCCGCTCTCCCACAGAAGGAAATATTCAAGGCTTAGAGGACAGACGGAGGGCCAGCCGCCTTAATATGTAAATGACAGATCCAAGCGCCACCAATTCACCTAGCCAGAAAGGGGCCAAAGTGCCTGAACCGAGCGTTCCGAGAGCACAGCAACGTGGCGCTCACACCCAGGAGAAGACCCTTCGGCCCGACTGGAGAGGCGCACATCCAAATGGCGCCGAGGTACCATTTTCACCACCCACAAGGAAAGGTCGTCCCCTCGCGCCCCCCGCCCCCGCCAGCCATCCGAACTCCGTGGCCACGCGGAGCTGCTGGCGAGCCTGCGGAGGGAGGTGGCGCCCGAGAAGGTCCGCCGGAATTCTAGGCACTCTCGCGGCGAGAGTGGCGGGGACCACTGCGCCGCCGCCGCCGCCGCCGCACGCACGGCAAGGGCGCCGCGGCACGGGGCCGGCCTCCGCAGAGCGCAGTTGGCAGGTACTGGGGTCCGTGCGTGTCGCTCCGAGCAAAGTCGGCGGGCCGCAGTGACGCCGAGGCAGCGGGAATTGTTCCGTTGCACGGGTGTCATCCGGGACATCCCGTTCTGGGGTCGGAACCGGCCGGAGCCCTGGCCGGAGGCCACGGACCGAGCGGAGCAGTGGCGCGCGGGGAGGGGCTGGGGGTGCTGGCTGAAGAGCCGTCGCCGTCGCGGCGCGCCGGGCAGCGGCTGAGCGTGCGGGAGGCAAGTCCTCAGGCACGGAACCGCGGGTGGAGTGCGCGTTCCGTGCTGGGGGCGGGGCGGCGAAAAGGGACCCAAAGTAAGGTCTGGCCTTCACGGGCTCCCGGCAGCCCCCAGAGCGGCGGCCGCCCCTCGCCCCGCGTCTCGGCGCCGGACGCGCGCGCGGCGGGGTTGCGGCTCGCGGCTCGCGGCGGCGGACGGGAGGGCGGAGCCGGGCCGGGGCGGCCGCGCCTCCTCGGGGAGCTGAAGGCGGGCCATGCAGATTCGGAGAGGCTGCTGGGCGAGGGAGGGCCGCGGCCGCCAGGGATTCGGGATTTCTGGTTGGGAGGGAGGAGAAGGAAGCCTCTGCCCAAAAGGGTCTGGGGATGTGGGTGGGACCGTGGACGGCGCAGAGGAAGTCAGGCGAGGAGTGAGGGTCTGGGCTGTCACCGTGAGTTGAATATGGCCCATGTGAGGACGGTGGCCGGGCGGGGGCGGCGTGGAGGTATCGCTTCTCGGCCTTTTGGCTAAGATCAAGTGTAGTATCTGTTCTTATCAGTTTAATATCTGATACGTCCTCTATCCGAGGACAACATATTAAATGGATTTTTGGAGCAGGGTGATGGAATAGGAGCTTGCTCCGTCCACTCCACGCATCGACCTGGTATTGCAGTACCTCCAGGAACGGTGCACCTTCCCCGCAAAGATGGTGAACATAAGAGGTGTTTAGTATGGCAGTTTTTTTTGCTTTTCGTTTGCCTGTTCTTTCTTGGTGTTTGGGTGGCTTTGTTTGTTTGTTTGCTTCTTTTCTCCTTAGCTATGATTTCGTTTGTTTGGTTGCTTTCTTCTTAGCTGTGATTTTGTCCCCTTGGCGGCAGTCTGCTGGGGTGTAAAAGTGATTTTTTTCCCCCTTTACTTGTTTTGGTTTTCTTTCCTAACTCCTCTCTGGTCTCTTTCTGCAGCCGCGTTTTAGGTCTTTCATTGCTCTTTTTGCTTTCTCTGGAAGATGTGCCTTCTTACTCTCCTTGGGTGACAGTTCTTTTTTTCTCTGCCTCTTATACCCTTGGCTTTGGGTTTCCACTTTACTGTCCCTTACAGCCCGCTGCCTTTTCTGCCTTTTCTTGCTCCTGTCATCTGCCTGACACACGCTCGTGTCCTTCTGGCTGCCTGGCCTCTGTCAGAGTTCTCCCACGCTCGACCTGGTCAATGACCAATGAATGGCTACAGCCGCGTCCATCCCCCGACCTCCCTCCGCCCTTCCGTACCACCTTTCCGTATCCCTTCACCCCCAACCACACCCCCCCAATTCCCCGATGTCCTCCCATCCCTCCTGACAGAGATTAATTTCCCTGCAGGTACCCTCTGTCCCCTTACCACATCCTTGGTGCCACCTGTGCCTCGGAACGTAGCTGGCAGAAAGCGTCCCCACCGGGCTCATGTGGCTCGCCCCAGCTCTCCGCAGGCCAGGGAAAACTAGGCACCGTCAACGTTTGCTACCGGCCATCCAGAGGCCCTTACCGGAAAGTTTGTGAAAATAAAGCATGGTGGGAAACGGTGGGAATGGAAACGTAGCACGCCTACATGTTCCAACCGTTGTTTCGTCCTTTCCAGGTTCTCCGCGTCTAAAGACCTGCATCCTGGGACACGCTCCCAGCGATCTGCCAGGGTGACTGCTCATCGGCTGTCCCACCCGGCGGGCCTGTGGGATACCGCGTCCGGACCTCCGACCCATCCCCAGCAGGTCCGGCTCACCACTCCTTCCGGTTCTTCTTGCGCTTGCCTTGTCAAAATGTAACCGTCGAAGACATTTTTTGGTGACCCTTGCTGAACTGCAGATTCGGAATATCAGATCGGGGAATATCGTCATTTGCAGACCTGCGATGGGAGCTGTCCCTCCGCGAATGGGTCCCACCGACGCGGGTTCCTCTGGCCGTGTTCTCGACTGCATTCCACAAAGGCGACGTGGAGCCCGCGGGGATGGTGTCTCCCATTCTGGGGGGTCTGCCTTCAGGAAGGAGGGCTGGGTACTTCTTTGTTACGGCAGGGAGAAAACGGGAGGACGGTGGGTGCCGCGGCGCGACGTGTGCCGAGACCGCTGCAGCGCTCTCCCCTCTGGGAGATGCCTTCATTCCTCCATTTCCAGGTCCTTGTAGACGTTTTGGTCGTAGCCGCGGAGGGAGGAATAACGGCAGGCAGGCAGGCAGAAATAACGCCTGGGCTGACGACCCAGCAGACGGTGTCGAGACGCAGGGAAAGTAAGGTCGCTGAGACCCCGCGGCGTGTCTTCGGTTTTGAGAGAAGGAAAAGCGGCCGCGGAAGCTGCCCCGCCGCTCGCGGCTAGGCCGGGGTGGTCTCCGGTTGGCCGTGGACGGTTTCCCGCGAGGGCGGCCGCCTTAGAAAGAGAACAGCCAGTGATTTTACTGGCCAGAAGAGTCTGTTCGGGGATGGCGGAGGCATCGCAGTCAGGGGCGTGCAAGCTACGGGGAGCCACCAGCAGGTCTGAAGAGGCAAAGGGGAGGTCGGGTTGGTTGGTTTGTTTTCCTTCCTTCCTTCCTTCCTTCCTTCCGTCACTGGAAAGTCAGCTTCAATTTCGATTCACGGAGGACATTGGGGAGGCTTGCTTTTGAACACAAGTTCGCGGGAGAAGAGCGAGACTTTGAGGTTGTGGCGGTTTCCCATTCAAAGGCGGGCGGTGGTTAGTGCCTTGCTGCTGGGGCAAGAGGGGCTCTAGCCTCCTTTTCCTTACAGGCAGGCGATGACCTTCCCTGCTCCAGAAGGTTCTCCCTTGTCAGAATAATGTTTATCTTCCTTCTTCCTGCTGGTTAGGCAGGAGTGGTGCGGGCTTGAGAGCTCCCCTTCCAGGCCTTCCCGAGTCCAGCGTCAGCGAGATGTCCTTCCTTTGCGACATCAGAGTGGGGCCAGGACGCTCTGGGACCGTGGCGAGTCAAGACGGGAGCGAGGCCCACCCGGTGGTGGGTCACGTGGGAACGGAGACAGCAAAGAAGAACGTTGTCCGAACAACAGAATGGACCAAACACGTCCCCGTACCCTGGCTAACGGGAGTAACTGCTGCGGGACCGACCGGCAGCTTTGGCTGCGCTCTGGTTTTCCTTTCTCCTGGGTAAGATTTCTTCAGCTTCCCAATCACTGAATTCCCCTGACTGCCCGAAAGCATCTGTGGGGCAGCGGGAGATCTTTTCCCTTCTCCCCTTCGAGGTTCTTGGGGCGGGGTGGGGTGGGGGGGTGGCTGGGGCTTTGTGACCAAAGACAGATTCACCAGAGAGAAGCAAACCGAAGTGGATTCGTGCGTATATCTCACAAACACACGGGAGAAGCGGAGGGCTGAGGAACTCTGTGGGGTGGCTAGAACTTGGCCTTAAATAGCCCCGTAACCCAAAACGAACAAGAAGGAAAAAAAAAAAATTATAAATTTTCAGAGAAGTGACAAGACAGAGTAGAAGGGCTTAGAGTGTCTGGGGGGGGGGGCCAACGGTAGGAAGGTAAATATAAGGGGTGGGGGCGGGGGGATCGCGGAAGATAAGGGCCGGCCGGTAGAGTCTGTTAGGTAGAGTCCTCTGGGGCCAGTCCCCCGGGCCAAGAAGGAGCCGGGGTTGTCAGTGGTTCGCTTCTGTACACATTCACGTCCCGCTTTGAGGCAGGTGGGAAGAGGGCGGAGTTCTTCCTTCTGTCTGTCTCAGCTCAAAAACAATCTCTGTGTCTTGTCTGCTAAAGTGGCATATGGGGGTGGGGGGGGGGGGGGGGGTGTCAGCAAACGCGGCCGCCCTTCCCGTCCCTGCCTTACAGCGTCCCGCGGGCTCACATCCCGTCCGTGCTAAGCCGTTGCGGACACCCTCGCCCCGAAGCGCGTCCCCTCTCACTTTCGCAACAAGCGATGGCCCGGTTGGTCTCGTGACGCGTGTGTTCCTGGTGGTCTTTGGCTGGATGGTGTTGACACGTTGTTAAGAGGGTCCACCGGAGGACCCCTGTGGTAACTGCAGTATGGAATGAGTTTTCTGTCCAAGAAGCAAGACTTTTCTCTCTCTCTCGTTCCATACCTCGGAAGGGCCTGATGACCACGGTTTTATGCGACGGTGATAAACGACCTTTTCCCAACGACAGCTCAGCCTCCTCGAGGTCCTGGGAACCCGGCTTCCGAAATCCCTTCGAGACTTAACGCTCTCCCTGACCCCCTCCCAACCTGGAAGTATGCCCGCTGGGGCCGCTGCCCGGGACCCCAGCGTGGCTCGGCTCGTTCTGCCCAGGGGCCCCGTGCCCAAGCTTTCACAGAGTCGCCTTTCGGCGCCCAAGACGTCTCAAGGACTCCTCCTCGGCCCTGGGCTTCGAAGGCTCACCCTCTTTCCTCCACCTTGAGGCGCCCGGACGGGCGGCTTGGAGTCCCGAGGCTCACGCGGACTCAGCCGCGGTGCAGACTTGGCGAGGACTTTCTCTTCTCTTCCTTTGCTCTCCTTTCGGGGGCTCTGCAAGGAGGCGGGTCTTCCTGGCCCAGAAACTTGATGCCCTCTCTCTGCTGCTGTCCTTATGCAACGTTGTCTGTCCTGGGCACGGGACGGCCACCTCAGTCACCGGGTCGGCTGCCCGTCTTGAGACTCCCGTGGGAGGTTTCCTCCTGATGGATCTGAGGTGATCCCGGTCACATCCCCGGTCCGGCCGCTTGCGGCGGAAACCGGTACCCGATGGCGTGCAAACCCTCCCGGGGACTCTTTCCTCGGGCAGTTAGTTCCCTGTTAGGACTAGCCGGGTTGGCATGTCGCTTTGGTCCCGGTGGATGTCTGTCTTTACGGTTTTCCTTCAGTGTCCTCGACGAACTCCGTGAGCTACAGAATTCGGTAATTTCCTCCTGTAAAACTCTGCCGGCGTTCTCCATGGGTTAAAGACAGCGAGTTCTTCAAGGCAGGGTAAAGTAAGGCGTGACCTTCACGGCACGACCTTCGAGGCCCGGTGTTTCGGTCCCACGCCGGGCGCCCGTCTGTAGCCTAGGATGCGGTGGGGGAGCGGGGGGTACGGTAGCCTCCCTCCTCCAGGGGCCCTTAGCGGCGGCGGCGGCGGCGGTCACAGCGATTTGATCTTTCGGGGGACGCCCCGGGTCGCTCTGACGCCACGGACCTCGGATCTATCCTGCGTGGGACGGTGCCCGGCAGTCGGGTTGGGTGGGGGTGCGGATCGTCTAGGTGATGGACCTTCTCGTGTCTTCAGTTCCCAAGGACTCTCCCTTGGGGTGCCTTTCAACCCACCGGAAACCATTGGGATTGCAAAACTTAGGGAAGGACTGAGCCCCTGTAACCCTGCACGGGTCGGGTGGGATCCATCGGTTCGATGTCCTCTGCGGGAAATGGGTCAGATGGACCTAGGGGACCTTCAGGGCTCTACACCAGGACCCCCGACCTAAGGGCCTTTTGGGGAATGTGTTCGCCTGAAGGGGTCGGCTGGCAAAACTCCCCTCCTGCCCTACTGGATGATAATTATCTAGCCAGGCCTCCTCCGGATAAAGCCAGGCGGCTGGAGGAAACCTAGCGGGCCCCCCGCCCCCCAGCAAAGGGGACTCTTGCCTCTCACTGTTCCTCCTCCTCGTAGATGTGGGGACTAGACTTCTCCCTCGCTCGTTTCCCGGGTTACCGGCTGTAACTGGAGCCAACGGCGGTTGGTCTCCCTCGGGCCGGGGGCCGGAAGGAATGTTCCGGAGCAGCCCCCGAAACTTGCTTCGGGGAGACTCCCCGTCTTCGCTGGCCCGGCGGGGACTGCCTAGTCCCCCTCGTTGGCGGGAGAACACGGCATCTGCTCCTCTGTTGGGGCCCATGAGCTCTGGAACCGGGAACCCTTTCTTCTGCCCTCTGGCGGCCCTCTGCCTCTCCTGTCTCCTCGCTCCTGCTGGAGACTCCTGCTGGAGACTCCTTGGGTGCGGCGGGCCTGACTGGCTTCTGCATTGCCCTCGTCCTACCGTCCTACCGGGGCTGGCTCCTCCTCCCCTCGCTGTCAGGGAGCAAAGGAGAGCGCCCACCCCCACCTCGACCCTGACCCGGACCCCCGACCCCCGACCCCGCCCGCTCCAGTTGCTCCTGATCTCCCCGCCATCGGGCCAACCGGCCAGCGTCTGGGGTAGAAGCTGCCCCTGGGGAGGATCCTGATGCAATCATGACCTGAGCTGACGGTAGAGGCTTTAACCCACCGAGCCACCCAGGAGCCCCTGGAATTCAACACAGTTGAATTCTAACTAAATTCTAACACAAACTAAACACCGTTGAGTTTGTGGGTTCCATGAAGATCGACGTGTCTTTTAAGTGGCCAGCAGGAAACGTGAAACTCTTACTGTATCGAGGTCCGCTGAAGGTCAGACCAGCTCCTGTGGTCTCCGTTGCAGTTTGTGAGCAAAGAGGTGACGTGACGTGATGGTCCATCTCACGTCCGTCCGCCCGCGGGCGTTCGCGGGCGGCTGTTGAGAGAGCTTTTTCCGTGGTCTTTGGGAACTCGAGACTTGGAAGTTCTGCTTGGATGATGACTGGGATTAAATTCACCGGACATCTAGGTCTGTTCCGAGTAGGACAGTGTGCGAAGTCGCCGACGACTGGATGGAGGCCTGTGCAAAAAAGGATGCTTGTAGTTCTGTGGTTCTTGTTTGAAACATGGCTGGTTTTCTGATGAGGACTCTTCCAGGTTAAGGAAACTGTCTCTCAAGAGGTCTGTGACTTACGCAGACGCGATAAAGGATTCACGTGTGAACAGACGGAAGCGTTTCCCTTTTCTCTCCGTCCGAGCCCTCTAAGCTTCAAAAGGCCTCGGTAAGTGTTCTTTCTTCGGTGGCGATCGTAGCCACTCGCGTGAGTTCGATGGAGCCTGTTCTCCTTGTAACAGGAGACCGTGGGAGACATTGGTTGTTTTACCAAGGCTTTGACTGGGAGGTCGTGTCTGAGAGACCCATACAGCCTCAGCTAGGAGCAGACGGCTCTACGGGACGGAGGCTGCCTTTACGGAACCCGGAGCCGTAGAACCCCTCGGAAACCTTGGGCTTACGGAGTTCCCAGCCGCCTCGCGAGGTGAGGGAGGAACGTCACGTCCTGGCAGGTGCGGGAACCTCGGGATGCCCTGGGGACCCCGTGAAGAGGAGTCTGGCCAAATCGACCGGCACGACAGGCACGTCGGAGGGCAAGTCCTCGGCTTGGCTCCTGGCCTGGAGAGACTACTAAAAGTTCAACCTAGGGACTCCTCATCAAAGTTCCAGCCAAGCCGATTCGAAGAGACCTGTATGCTCGATCGATCGTTATTCTTGCTGAGCGTGTGTGAACGATTAGGCCGAGTTTGTCAAAACCGGACTTGTTTCTCAAGCGCTTGAAATACGTCCAGTGGCCCTCTCTGATGAAAAGGGCGGGTTGTTTCAGAGAGAAAAATTATGTTTCAGGAGCACACCTTCGTGGATGGTAAATTCTCGATCCGATTGTGTTTAAGTGTTTGTTGTTCCCCTAAGCCAGACCCGTTGAGGTGAACGTCGGAGAAAGTACCACGATAGCGCGTGCGGACGGACGGAAAAGCTCGTGCTTTCTGTGCTGCCGGGGATAGTCACGGGATCCCGTGGGCCCGTGATGACGTAACCGGCCGGAGAATGGGATCGATTCCCCAACAACTGCCTAACTCGGCGAGCAGCTCGACCCATTCTATGTGGCTGGGATGACAGAATCGTTCCCTAAAAGCCGGAGCGCACCCGACTCTGTAGGGGTGACGGTGGGCTTGTGGAGATAATGGCTGGGTTGGATGGTGCCCTTGGGGATGCCCTCGTCTCTTGGCAAGTCTTCTCCCGCTTGCCAGTGATTCCTTATAATTAGGACACCGTTAGGGCCGGACCTCAGACATCAAGGGCTCCTCGACGGTTTCACCCCTCCTAGCCCTGTTGTTCCTAGAAGCCCCGCCTGCCGAGGTCCAGTTGCAAGCCAAGGCGTCAGCCAAGCACGCAACAGCCCTCCCGGAAGAGCGGAGCCTCGAAGCTCCCCACGGGACAGTCCCTGACTGTGATGACTTCACATCAGGTCCCGAGTGTCTCAGAGACCAAAGGCCACCAGTGGACGATGGGAGGCAGACTTACGACGTACCGGGTTACGCATATAGATGTGCCTGAGCTGATTCTTGAAACCGGTCAGACTTTCGGCCCAGCTTCCCTTAGGCCCGCACCTGATCGCCGTGCTTCTAGAGAGCGCAGCTGTTCAGAGGTTACCGGTCTTCCGGCCGACCAGGTTTAAAAGATGCCCCTGTGACGGTTGGTTTACCGACGGCAACCGTTTCCTGTCTACACCGGAAGCAGCTTCATGAGAAGCTGGGTGCGTGTGCCACAGTGCTCACTGGTGCTTGGCAATTGCCCAGGCCTTGCAAGTTCGTACTCACACTGACTCCGAATATGCTTCCCTGGTCCTACGTGCCCCGGGAGCAAATTGGAAGAAAAGGGGATTGTTAACAAGCCCTAACTCCCCAATCAAATAGGGGCCCGAGGTTATCACTCTCCTTGACCGACTGGGCCGCCCAGGTGCCTCCTTGAAATTACTACTCTTCTCAAGGCTGTACACCTGCCTAAGGAAGAGCCGAAATTCGCCCCAAAGGGCATCAAGGGATAGGACCTTAGAATCTGAGGGAAACAGCCCACTGGACCGTGCGGCGAAGCGGGCAGCACAGAATAGACAGAGGCGGAGTCTTTGATCCGTCTTCCCTCCAGTGGAGTCCCTGCGTGCAGCCCGTTCAGACCAAGAAATGCGCAGGCCTGGCTTGTTAATAATGAAGGAAAACACCTTTATACCCCAGAATAACCCATGGGACGTAATACAGGATTCACACCAGGCTACTGATTTGGGTAGAAGGGGCCACGGAGGTGACAAAAACTCTTAAGAAAAGTTGTCCGTGGATCTGGACTCCCTCGGTGTCTACAGAGGGACCACGGACTGCCTTTTAGGACACAGATTCAAAAAGTTGGCCCTCCGAAATGGAGTAGGCCTTGATACTTTGGCTGCAGTTTGAAGGAGCCCGGCATCAGGACCCGATGGCTAGTCTAGAGTCTAGCTCGTGTCCAAGGCTTCCCCCAGGCTGGACAGGCCACGGTGCTGTGGGTTTTGGCCAGCATGAAAACCGTCATCCACCCAGGCAACCTTCCCAACTAGAAACAGCGGTGAACACGTTCTGCGTCTCATCGGTATGACCGCCTAACACCCATTCTCGTTCCCTCTTTGGCACCGGACGATGTCGTTTGGCACACGGAAGCTCTTAAGAAGTACACGGTGAATGGGGCTCCTGGGTGGCTCAGTGGGTTAAAGCCTCTGCCTTCGGCTGAGGTCATGATCCCAGGGTGCTGGGATCGAGCCCCGCATCGGGCTCTCTGCTCAGTGGGGAGCCTGCTTCCTCCTCTCTCTCTCTGCCTGCCTCTCTGCCTACTTGCGATCTGTCAAATAAATAAATAAACATCTTAAAAAAAAGAAGTACACGGTGAAGGCCCTAAATGATTACCCCACACGGCATTTCTCTGTTAAAAAACTAACACAGCACAAATGCTTAAAACAGGTTTACAAGCTTTGCGCAGTGGCAGTATCGTAGCCAATGAGGTTTATCCGAGGCGCGATTATCGCTAATTGAGAACAGGTTTACAAAGTAGCACGACGTTAGGTGTTTCAACGAACGTGTGCTGAGCAGAACGCCAAAACGCTGTGTAGACGTTCCGGGTTATCGCGGGATGTGTCTGGGTGTCTGACGTGAGTACTCACATTGGTGCTTTCAACAATCCCTCTCTTTCCTCTAGTGATTGGTTAAATTCCTGGACTGGCAAAGGATTTTTGTCAACTACGAGAGGACTCTTATTCGAGCTTCTTTTTCTTTCGGTTAGGTTACACTAATCTCGTTTGGCTGTTTTCTCCCATCTCTCTCCAGCTGGCGTCGAGGCCCCTTCGCTGCCGGAGCTTCAAGCCAGCGGAGGAGCCTTCCCACTTCGGAAGATCTCCACACACGCAGTCTCCCTTGGATTCAGCTGCCTCTGCCTCTTGTAACTCCCGTTACCTGCATGAGCCCCGACTGACCAACGCTGAGCCATAGGTAGGGACATCTCTATGCCCCCGTCCAGCAGGAAGAAGTCACAGAAGATGAGACCTCCCGCCCTCAAAACTATAAAGATTTATGGGTCAAAACTGTTCACGGGGGGAATGATGTGGGAAACAAAGGCAGAAGAAGAATTATTGAAGTTCCCTACTACCTACAGCCCGTTGGCAAGTCCTGGAAACAGAGTGACTTTCCCCTAGGGACTCAACGGCCTCGATGTTAACACTTTGGTAAGGGCAGAAGGCAACCCTCGCCTGAAACCCACCAGGATCCTGTAAGTCTACTTTAACCCATAAAAAGCCCTTTATTTCTAAACCCCGCAAGGTTCGTGTTGGCAATCATCCCCCAAGCATACGGCCCACCGATGTACATCTGAAGGGTCTCCCACCGACGGTTTTGCTGGACGGTAATAGGTAATAACAACAACAGCTCAGCCCCGCCGAGGCCCTGGAAACCTGGCTTCCAAAATTCCTTGGAGACTTCACGCTTTCCCTGACCCCCCCGCTCCCAACTTGGAAGTATGTTAAGGGGACCGCTCCCCGGGACCCCGCTGGGGCTCTTTCTGCCCAGGGGCCCTGTCCCCGTGCTTTAATAAAACCACCCTTTGGCACGGAATACGTCTCAAGAACTCTTTCTGGCCGCAGGCTTGGAACCCTAACGTTCTTTCCCCCATCATGCCTATACACAGGACTCAGCAGTCAGACGATGTCAGGGGGTGGGTGCTCAGGGCAGAAACCTTCCAACGTAGCTTACGTTGGAGAGGATGTTGAAAAAGAAGAGAGGAGAGATGCTGCCAAGAAAAACCTCCCAGAGTTGTTCGCGTCTTTCCCGCCGGGGGATTTCTCCTAGGAAACGAGGCTGAACGAGCTCCGGGACTACGGCTACCGGCGTGCATTTCCGTTCGGAGGCGGGAGGGCAGGAAACCAGGAAACGGGCGCGCGTGTGGGCGGGACATGCAAATTAGAAATGACAGTTTCTCCCCGGGACCGATGGGAGCGAAACAGTAAAGAGGGTGAAAGCCCGAAGCCGGTTAATGATCTGACAAAGCATGTACGCCGAACGAGTTGTGAGGATGGCGTACTGTCAGGTTGAAGGGAAGAAGGCGCGAGTTCGTTTGAGGGTGACTTTTCTCACCGTGATCAAAAAGATATGCGAGAGGCAGGGTGCCGACGCGCTCGAGGGGCGACGGCTATCGCTTCTCGGCCTTTTGGCTAAGATCAAGTGTAGTATCTGTTCTTATCAGTTTAATATCTGATACGTCCTCTATCCGAGGACAATATATTAAATGGATTTTTGGAGCAGGGAGATGGAATAGGAGCTTGCTCCGTCCACTCCACGCATCGACCTGGTATTGCAGTATCTCCAGGAACGGTGCACCCCCTCGGGGGAACATCGAGGGTCTTAAAGTCAGAGCGTTGGTGTTTATGCTCTCTGTGAGGAGGCTGTGTGTCCTCTTCGGGTGAGTCTGCGTTTTGAGCTCGCGGTTTGGAACGGAGCTTCTCTTTGCGCGAGTCTTCGTTGAGCGGAGAACCCGTTGCTGTGCTCCTTTCAGGGCGCCATGATCTCGATGCGAAAGCCCCAGAGGCTCGACCTACCGACGAACCCAGGTGACCAAGTCTTTTTGAGGTTTCGAGGTGTGTGTTTGTGGTATGTGGGCTTCTCCGAAGAGTGGGACGCTAGGGCTTTTGCCAGAAATGCACAGAAGCAGCCAACCATATTTGCTCTCTGCTAGGGAGGTGTGATTCCGAGAGCGCCAGTGACACGCTTTATTTACCCTGGTGAAAAATCACTGGGCCCTAATGACAGACCACAGGGTCAGAGTTCCTTCTTGTTTTCCGACCCAAATACGGTTGCCGGGGAGGGAAGGAAAAAGGGACGTTTCAAAAGAACTTCCATATGCTAAAGAGGACCTACGAGATCTCTGAGGCCCTGCCATTTTCGAGTTAAGGTGGTTTTTCCCCTCGAGCAAGGGTTTAACATTAAGAGCTGTTGGGAGCTTCCTCCTGGGCGTTGGGAGCTTCCTGGAAGGAGGTCGCGCCTGTCACACCCAGGAGTGGGGGTGGGGGGAGGCTGCCCGGTGTCCCCTTCTGCTTTGTCTTCAGCCAGCCTTCTGCTCCCTCCTCACCCATAACCTAGGAGCTCAGTGTTTGGTTTTTTCTTTTCAGGTCCTTAGTGACTGAGGAGCTTGCAAGAACAGGGGATGAGAGGGGGAAAAGCATAGAAGAATCTGATTTAATTAGGTGCCCCTGAACGTTCCCTGAGAGACGTGAACAAAGAA